ACTGACCCTAAGATATTAGTAGTTTCTCACATCAGAGTTACAAAAATCAAATTAGATTGTCTTGCAGTCTTAAAATGTATATTTATTCAAACATACACACCATCCGAAAATAACATAAAGTCTTTGCACACATCTGGACTAATACAGCAATATGTATGCTCTCCAAGATAATGTCAATATGTTAAACATATTGGTGGAGAATATCTATCTGCAAAAGTTTTTATATGTCTAAGATTTCAGTTGATTACACGTAAGGTTGCCTGATTCTGTAAAATATGTAAAATTGGTTGTGGCTTAGTAACCATTCTGTCCAACCTACGATTAAAGCTATACGTTTTAAAAATTGTTATAATTGGGGGTAAAATATAATTTACACAAATGACTGTATACATGTTTAAATTAATGCATATAGAAATTGGCCCTTATTAATATACATGGAAGTCTGGCTTGCAATGTTGGGTTAAAGTTTATAATAACAACAGGCCTTCGTCAACCTATCTCAAGAGAAACCATATGTGATGACCACTGATATACAATGTCTTCTAATTAATACTAGATGTAGGTAGTGCCTCTCAGTTTCTGTGTCTGAAAGAAGTCTGAAATTATATGAATTGCAACTAATATAAAGAATAATAATATTAATTTTACAAAGATAAAATCCTACAACACATCAGATATTTTTATTTAAATTCTTTATTTTCATTGTATTTTCAGGTAGGTACATGACAGTATCCAATGCCACAACAGCGTACTTACATATTTCTATACAAGCATAACAGTGGCAAGAGTATGTGCACATTTTTTTTTTAAACAAATAAGCAAGATCAATATAACAGGCTTGTTTTCCTGGCGCTATAGTGCCCTGAGGGTGCCCCCACCCTCAGGGTCCCCCTCCCGCCGGGCTCTAGGGGGAGGAAGAGGTTACACTTTTCTCCAGCGCCGGGTGGGGAGCTCTCCTCCTCCTCTCCTCCTCCTCTCCTCCTCCTCTCCAGCTCCTCTCCTCCTCGGCTGAATGCGCATGCGCGGCAAGAACCGCACGCGCATTCAGCCAGTCTCACAGGAAAGCATTCACAACACTTTCCTATGGACGTTGGCGACTTTTCACTGTGAAAATCACAGTGAGAAGCACGCAAGCGCCTCTAGCGGCAGTCAATGAGACAGCCACTAGAGGCTGGATTAACCCTAATATAAACATAGCAGTTTCTCTGAAACTGTTATGTTTATAGAAAAAAGGGTTAACTCTAGCTGGACCTGGCACCCAGACCACTTCATTAAGCTGAAGTGGTCTGGGTGCCTATAGTGGCCCTTTAACCCTGGTGAAATGTTACTGCAATGTAGGTTTGCTTGTGTGTAAATTAAGTTGCTTTGCTGTATACTACTGCAGTGTTTGAAGTGCTGGGACAGCTAAGTTAACTACAGGCTGAACCAAGAAGTACTGTGCTCACTGAGTTGTGATTAGGGGGTAAAATAAAAATGATGCTAGGAAACATGTATGGCTAACAAGGGCTAATAAAACCGGCTGGTTATCTAAGCGCACTTTCTGTACATCTTTCGAGGGCAAATATAATAAATTAACACATTAGATATCACGTTTTGGCATTGAATAAACAGGCTGTTGTTATAAATGTTATGTTTTGTTTACATGCAACTAACTCTATGGTTTATTCTCTACTGCACAAGTTTCCTGCTGGGGTGTGTACTTCCTTCCTGTATCACATGTCTGCTATACACTAATAGCTTGCAGTCTCTTTATTTATATCTCCTGAAACATGGTTTCAGAAGTATCTGAACCTGGTCTGTTCTCACACATTTGATGCCAGGAGCTTGCAGTGAGAGACTTTTTAGAAGTGACTGTTCCTCCTGTAGCAATTACAGCTACTACTGTCCTGCAAGCTGAGCATTGGAAGCAAGAACACCAGCATCATGGCAGCTGCTAATAGCATTCCACTACCTGGGGCAATGAGTGTGAGTGGGGATTGCAGCAGTAACTGGGATAACTTAGAGCTGAGTTTGAGGATTACTCCCTAGCTACAGGGCTAAATGAGAGCCTGCAGCAGTGCAAGTAGTCAGATGGAGGAGGGTGATGGGCAGTGAGTGCTGCCATGTTTACAAGCATAATTTGAACCTCACACTAAAGTCATCCTTGATGCATTGGAAGCTTTCTTCAGACCTGCAAAAAAATATTTATAGTATATGAAAGATATATATTTGGCAGCTGCAAGCAAGAAGAAGGTGAATCAATAGACAACTTTGTCACAAGGTTGAGAGAAAAAGCTGCAAGCTGTGAGTATGGCTCCTTGAGAGATGAACTTATTCATGACAAAATAGTTCTAGGTATTAATACTGAGAGTACCCGCCACCGTCTATTGAGGGAACATGATTTAAACCTACATGCAGCAATTGAGATATGTCAATGCAGAACTTACTGACAAACAAATGAGAGCTATGGAGCAAGATAAACAGACTGACAGCATCCATGCAGCCTTTAAGCAACAGCTAAGCTTGAAGAACCACCAGCACAAGCATCAACACCAAAGCACCTCACCTGTGAGCAAGTCTACATCATGTAAGTACTGTGGCAGTATACATGTGAGAGAGAAAGAACAGTGTCCTGCATATGGGAAAACATATAGATCATGTGGGAGGCTAAATCATTTTGTTGGAGTATGTCTGTCAAGAAGAAAGGAAGCAAGGAAGCTAAACACAATTGAACACATGTCTGATTCTGAGGATGCACTCCTGCTTAGCAATGATGTGATTTTCTCCAAGGAATGCATTGGTGCTGTAAAGTCTAAGGGCAAAAAATGGTTTGTAAATCTCAGACTGAATAATATATGCCAACCCTGCCAGTTGGATTCTGGTGCAACATGTGATGTCATGAGTTTGAAAGACAAGATGACACTGGCACCTAGGGCATCACTTCAGCCCAGCAGCACCAAGCTGAAGCTATATTCAGGGGAACTAATGGAATCATTGGGACTTTTCCAAACAGAGTGCAGCATACGTGAAAATATACACAAACTTGAATTTGAGATTGTTGAAGCCAATCAGAAACCGCTATTGTCTGGTTCTTAAAATTGGTTGTGGTAATACAGATGAGGAAGCTGAGCATGACCATGATGAGAAGCTAGTAGCATTATTGGATCACTGCAGGCAGGTAATGCTGAGATTCAGCATAAAGAAATTAGAAGAAGTCCGCTTCCATGGACATATCCTGTCTCAACAAGGCTTGAAAGCTGACCCAGATAAGATTAGAGCCATTGTGGACATGCCATGGCCTGGTGACACCAAAGCAATGCAGCGTTTTATTGGCTTTGTCACATACCTAGCAAAATTCATGCCACATTTGTCTGAGGTGTGTGAGCCATTGAGAAGGCTTCTAGATAAAGAGGCAGTTTGGCATTGGCTTCCCAAGCATGACCAGGCAGTGGAGGAAATAAAATGCTTGATCACAGCTTCCCCAGTGCTCAAATATTATGATGTAAAAAAGCATGTTACAATACAAAGCGACTCAAGCAAAAATGGCCTAGAATGTTGTCTATTGCAAGAAGGTCAGCATTTGCATCCAGAGCACTCTCTCAGCTGAGCAAAATTATGCTCAAATTGAAAAGGAATGTTTAAGCATTGTTTTTGCCTGTCAGCATTTCCATCGTTATCTCTATGGCCGGGATGCAATCATTGCTGAAACTGATCACAAACCACTAATAGCCCTATTCAAAAAGCCGCTTTTATGTGCTCCAAAGCGTTTGCAGAGCATGATACTTACATTGCAGAATTACAATCTCAATGTTGTGTACAAGCCAGGATTTGAAATGTACATCAGTGACACCCTAAGCAGAGCTACAATGGAACACGTGGCACCTGGAGGTGAGCATGAGCATCTTGCAGTTTGTTTGTTGCAGCAGGAACAGAATGTCTTTGCCGAAGTCAATCAAGCAGACTATCTTAATGTCACAGATCAGCGGCTACATCAGCTCATACAGCACACAGAAAGTGATGCAACTTTGCAAGCACTGAAGTCTATAGTTCTGATGTGATGGCCAGATGAAAAGGATGCAGCACCTGCAATTGTGAAGGATATTGGTCCTTCAGAGATGAGATCAGCATACAAAATGGTATCTTGTACAAAGGTCCAAGGGTCATAGTGCCTAAGTCACTAAGAGCAGAGATGTTATCGCGCATACACTCAAGCCACAGCGGAGGTGAGGTTTGCTACAGACAAGCTTGTGATACTCTTTACTGGCCCAACATGCAAGGTGAAATCAAAGACTTTGTCAGCAATTGTCCCACTTGCAATGAATATGCACACTTGCAACAAAAAGAAACCACAATGTCACATGAGATACCTAAACGTCCTTGGCAGATTGTAAGCATGGACTTATTCAACCATGCTTGAAAAGAGTACCTGCTCTTAGTCAATCATAACTCAAACTTCTGGCAAATTGAATTGCTTCCTGACCTGTCCACTGAAACTACAGTTAATCGATGCAAGGCGCAATTTGCACGTCATGGCCAATCAACTAAAGTGATTTCAGACAATGGTCCTCAGTTTGCAAGCTTATAGTTCAGGAAATTTGCTACTGACTGGGAGTTTGAGCATGTGACTTCTTCACCACATCATCCACAAGCTAATGGCGAAGCTGAATCTGCTGTGAAAATAGTGAAGAATTTATGCAAAAAAGCTAAAATTGATGGTAAAGACCCATGGAAAGCCATCTTACATTGGAGAAACACTCCAACAGAGGGTATGGATAGTAGTCCGGCACAGAGACTGATGTCAAGGAGATTAAAGAGCTCCTTACCAGTAGCCAACAAGCTACTTGAACCCTCTGTAATACAAGGTGTACCAGAAAAGCTATGACTTAAGAGGCAAGTGTTTAAGGCTAGATATGACTCATCTGCTAGGGATTTACCTGAACTGAATTTTGGGGAACAAATCCGTATGAAACCACTTCCTGGAGATCGAATAGGTCGCTGGAGAATGGGAACCTGTCTGCAAAATGTTGCACCATCTTGTGGATATCGAAGAAACTCTCTACCGATGCAATCATGTGGATCTGCGAGTGGCTGAGAAGCCCAATTCTCAATATCCAGGTGACAAGCCAGACACACCTGGTATTCCAAGGACACACTCACATGCCGACAGTGAAGAAGAAGTGATACCACAGACTAGTACTAATGACAGCCCTGAGCAAGCAGGACCTGACAGCAGTCAAGTTCAAAGCATGCCAGTAAGTGGTGGGAAGAGTCCAGTAACCTCAGAGAGAGCTAAAAGACTATTTGACAACCTGGACCAGTCATCACTCGTAGTGGCAGACATCCACAACCACCTGAGAGACTTAACCTCTAGAATGTTATTACAAGGACAGTGTTTCACAATGTTGATTTATTAATACTAAAAGAGGGAGATGTTATGGTGCACAGGGCACCATATGGTGTGTTTACCCTGTAGGCTGCTCAGCCGATGCCCTGCAATGGGAGGCAGCAGAGGTGCAAGTGCCAGATGTCTTCGACTGCCGGAGCTGCAGAGATTAAGATTCTTGTTTGTTCATTCCGCCAGACACTTCCAGGAACCCTTGGGTGGTTTTTACCGCTCCGATCCGTCTCGCATCCGCGGGCGGGAGCTCATGAGATGGAGTGCTCCACTTTTAGAGGGATCTTCTTCAGCTGTGTTCATGGACCGTGTCCCAGGGTCTTTCTCCTCCGTGTCCTCTGCCCGGGATGCATCTGGGAAATGGGCAGGTGTCTGTTGAATGGGTCATCTGCTTCCCTTGTTGAGCAGCGCCGGAGGCCCTGGGCTTGCGTCGCCGCTTGTCTGCCGTGGGGGGAGGAGGGTCAGGAGTTGTGTTTTCTCTCCCCTGCTCCGCTACAGTCTGTGCTCCTTTGTCCTGCAGCATCCATCAGAAATTATTGAGCAGCTTGTCCAGCCGTTCTTTGAGGTGGAGCTGGGCGCAGGCCACTGAATGGATGGGTTATGCGGTGCCTCAGTTTGCCTGGGGTTAGTTGCTGGGATATCACTTAACGGCAGGTTGGGGGGGGGAGAAAGGAAGGCTCTTGGGTGGTCCTCCACAGCGATGGAGTCTGCTTCCCAGGTGCTCCAGGCTGGGTGATCAGCCGCCTCACCCGCGCCCTCGCCTCCACTTAGGTTGCAAAACAGGCTGTTTTTTGCTGCAGTAGGCCCCGGTGATGCAGCCTGCGTTCCCTGAGGCTCAGCGTTTTGTGAGTAGGTTGGTTGCGATCTCCCTTGCATCCCCTATGTGGGTGGTGCAATTTTGAGGGATTTTGTTGCTTAAGAGCCGGATTAATTTAGCTTAGATTAGGGATTTGGACAAGAGCTTGTGCTTCATGCGTCTTATCAGCTACATAGCCAAGCTCCACCACCCAACACATCAGATATATTAAAGCTTATAAAATATTTTACGACCCACATGCTAACATACATTAATCAGCCACAACATTAAAACCTCTGACAGGTGAAGTAAATAACATTGGTCATATTGTTACAATGTCCATGTTGAAAAAAAACAAACAAAAACAAATTAAGTGTACACACATCTTCAGAACCATATAACCGTAACTATAACTTAATACATTAATATATACAATATGTAAATCTCCAGGAAAAAATGTTGCAAAAATATGCATGTGAAAATGAACACCTAAATACCAATCTGTATAGATTTATGCTTTAGACTATGGGAAAACAATGTGACAGAATAAATCTAGAAACATGTATCCTAAATAGGGGTATATAACATATGATGGTGGTTTATCTGTGTCTTCTTGGGCCTTTATAGCAGGCGAGGAAAAAGTACAAACATGCAAAGCATGCAGTTTAATTGTGTAATATTCTTGCTGTGGGGTACACTGTTTTAAGGCAAGATTGGAGTAGTCAAATGTATATGACACACAGCGGCGTACATACCAGGGTTGCAGGGGTCGCGGTTGCGACCGGGCCCGGCCCACCAGGGGGCCCGGCCGCCCCTGCGACCTGGTATGTAGCCACTGGGCCAGCCTCTTCTCCTGGGGGGGCCCAGGAGCCGACCACCCCAGGGCCCCCCGAGGCTGGCCCTGCTGACACCCGGCAGGCGGGTGGCCGGTCGGGCAGGCGGGCGCGCGAGGGAGCACTCAGTGCTTCCTCTTCAGCTCCCTCGCGCACCGCACTGATACCGGAGCCGGAAGATGACGTCATCTTCCGGCTCCGGCATCCCTACGCGGCGCGCAAGGGAGATGAAAAGGAAGCACTGAGTGCTCCCTCGCGCGCCCGCCTGCCTGCCCGACCGGCCACCCGCCCAGGAGCCCAGCAGCACCACTGGACACCAGGGAATCCCCCCAGCACTCCAAAAGGTAAGGAGGCTGGGGGGGATTACATTAAAAAAAAAAAAACATGTTAGAGTGTGTGTGAGTGTTATAGTGTTAGTGTTAGAGTGTTAATGTTAGAGTGTGTGTGTTAGAGTGTGTGTGTGTGAGTGTGTGTGTTAGAGTGTGTGTGAGTGAGTGTGTGTGTTAGAGTGTGTGTGTGTTAGAGTGTGAGTGTTATAGTGTGTGTGTGTGTGTGTGAATGTTAGAGTGTGTGTTAGATTGAGTGTGAGTGTTAGAGTGAGTGTTAGTGTGTGTGTGTCTGCTAGTGAGTGTTAGTGTGTGTGTGTCTGCTAGTGAGTGTTAGTGTGAGTGTTAGTGTGTGTGTCTGCTAGTGAGTGTCAGTGAGTGTTACTGTGTGTGTCTTACTGAGTGTGTGTGTTAGTGAGTCTGTTTGATGTTTGTTAGTGAGTGTGTGTTTGTCAATGAGAGTGTATGTTTTGTAAGTGAGTGTGTGTGTATGTCTGTCGCTGAGTGTGTCTCTGTCAGTAAATGTGTGTGTCTGTTAGCTAGTGTGTATGCGTCTGTTCGTGAGAGTGTGTGTCTTCAGCATTTACCTTTCTCCAGCGTCGGACTCATGGCGCTGGGGATCCCTCAGCCTCTCAGCTCGAATGCGTCAGCATTCAAACGCCCATAGGAAAGCATTACTGTGCTTTCCTATGGACATTCAGTGTGCTCCCTGCTTAAGCATTTGTCAGTGAGACAGCCACTAGAGGCTGGATTAACCTCAGTGAAACATAGCAGTTTCTGAAACTGCTGCTATGTTTTCAACTGCAGGGTTAAAACTAGAGGACCTGACACCCAGACAACTTCATTGAGCTGATGTGATCTGGGTGTCTGTAGTGGTATCCTTTAAGTGTGTGTGCATCTCTGCATGCACTGAAGTACACATACAGCGTGCACTTGGGGTCACAGCCCTGTAACCCCTGAACCAGGTGCTACCGCCATGTGTTGAAGCCACGACCCACCACTTGGCCCTTGCGGGGAGCCCTGGATCAATTGCTTGCGGAATTTAGACGTAGTAATGCGCCACTGACGACACATATACAAAAATAAGTGCTGTGTTCAAACTCCCACTGTTCCTGGGTGGCAGTAATGACTATAGTATGCATCTGCCCCAATTCATACAATAAAAACCAAAGAGAAAAGTTCCTTGTGCCACTTGAGTGTAAGCTTTTGAAATAAATGTTCACTAGTCTCCCAATTGCGTTCCACTAAATTTTTTTTTATATATTTTATAACTAACATACAGGGAGTGCAGAATTATTAGGCAAGTTGTATTTTTGAGGATTAATTTTATTATTGAACAACAACCATGTTCTCAATGATCCCAAAAAACTCATTAATATCAAAGCTGAATATTTTTGGAAGTAGTTTTTAGTTTGTTTTTAGTTATAGCTATGTTAGGGGGATATCTGTGTGTGCAGGTGACTATTACTGTGCATAATTATTAGGCAACTTAACAAAAAACAAATATATACCCATTTCAATTTATTATTACCAGTGAAACCAATATAACATCTCAACATTCACAAATATACATTTCTGACATTCAAAAACAAAACAAAACAAATCAGTGACCAATATAGCCACCTTTCTTTGCAAGGACACTCAAAAGCCTACCATCCATGGATTCTGTCAGTGTTTTGATCTGTTCACCATCAACATTGCGTGCAGCAGCAACCACAGCCTCCCAGACACTGTTCAGAGAGGTGTACTGTTTTCCCTCCTTGTAAAATCTCACATTTGATGATGGACCACAGGTTCTCAATGGGGTTCAGATCAGGTGAACAAGGAGGCCATGTCATTAGATTTTCTTCTTTTATACCCTTTCTTGCCAGCCACGCTGTGGAGTACTTGGACGCGTGTGATGGAGCATTGTCCTGCATGAAAATCATGTTTTCTTGAAGGATGCAGACTTCTTCCTGTACCACTGCTTGAAGAAGGTGTCTTCCAGGAACTGGCAGTAGGACTGGGAGTTGAGCTTGACTTCATCCTCAACCCGAAAAGGCCCCACAAGCTCATCTTTGATGATACCAGCCCAAACCAGTACTCCACCTCCACCTTGCTGGCGTCTGAGTCGGACTGGAGCTCTCTGCCCTTTACCAATCCAGCCACGGGCCCATCCATCTGGCCCATCAAGACTCACTCTCATTTCATCAGTCCATAAAACCTTAGAAAAATCAGTCTTGAGATATTTCTTGGCCCAGTCTTGACGTTTCAGCTTGTGTGTCTTGTTCAGTGGTGGTCGTCTTTCAGCCTTTCTTACCTTGGCCATGTCTCTGAGTATTGCACACCTTGTGCTTTTGGGCACTCAGTGATGTTGCAGCTCTGAAATATGGCCAAACTGGTGGCAAGTGGCATCGTGGCAGCTGCACGCTTGACTTTTCTCAGTTCATGGGCAGTTATTTTGCGCCTTGGTTTTTCCACACGCTTCTTGCGACCCTGTTGACTATTTTGAATGAAACGCTTGATTGTTCGATGATCACGCTTCAGAAGCTTTGCAATTTTAAGAGTGCTGCATCCCTCTGCAAGATATCTCACTATTTTTGACTTTTCTGAGCCTGTCAAGTCCTTCTTTTGACCCATTTTGCCAAAGGAAAGGAAGTTGCCTAATAATTATGCACACCTGATATAGGGTGTTGATGTCATTAGACCACACCCCTTCTCATTACAGAGATGCACATCACCTAATATGCTTAATTGGTAGTAGGCTTTCGAGCCTATACAGCTTGGAGTAAGACAACATGCATAAAGAGGATGATGTGGTCAAAATACTCATTTGCCTAATAATTCTGCACTCCCTGTATTTCACTATAGTCTCCTGTGTAAAAAAAAGACAAATCATAGAAAGAAAATCACCAAGATTTTT